AACAAGTCCTCATGCATATCAATCGAAACCTCGATTGGCGTTTGATGCTCGTATTTCCATGGAAGAGAGGCTGTCTTACGCTCGGAGGTGCCCTTCTTGTCGAGCTTGACGACTGGGCACCCGCCCTCGGTCAGGTGGCGTAGTAAGTTAGTGGTCCCAGACCTACTTGAACAAGCAAAGACCTTGTGGCAATGGTTGCACTTGCACTTCTCGTAAGTCCCATCCTCCTTCATGAGCTTTATGAAATGCTGCCAGACCACTGACCTCGACTTCCCTTCTCTCCTTTGTCTCTCGTCCGTGTTTGCGTCTGTGTTTGCATCTACATTTGCGTCTGTGTGGTATGCAACCTCCATTGCATTTTCATCATTTCCCTCGGCCATCTAGAGAAATGGAAACCAAAACATGACAACATAAATAATAGTTTCTTCAACAAACATAACCCAATATTACCAACGGAAAACCAAAAAATGTCATTATGCTTTTTTGCATGAATTTATAGTGCTAAGTATTTTTATTCAATTAGCTACCCTAAAACTATAAATTTCAAGCCACCAACTCCAACTAGTTGGAGTTAAGGTGCTAATTGCCATCACAAATTCATGGAACAAAATAATCAATGTGTTAAAAAAGATTTACTCGAATAAATTTTAAGCCACTATCGGCAGCTAGTTGGGATTAAGGTGTTGCTGACTTGATGACAGAATGACAAAAAAGCAGAGACCAACATTATTGATCTGGGTGCTACCACCAAAGTCCCCACAGTCTTTATTAGATTATACTCCCTCCGTCCCATAAAGTGTTACCCATTTTGACTAAAGTAGAAATTAAGGGAGGGATAATTTTGTGTTGAATTTCCAAAAATATCCTTGATGTAATGGGTAAAAGTAGGATGTGATGTGTAGATTATTAGGAAAAAGGTATGATGTGATAGGTAGGGTTTGAAAAAGTAAGGGGTAAAAATGGTTTTTTAATAGAAATGGGTAGGAGATTGTGGGACACAATTTTTTTGAAAGGTGTAAATCTTTTTGGGACGAAGGGAGTACATTTTACCATTCACAAATAGCATATAATTGCAGTTCAACTATACATCACAGAGGCATGTAGAGCCATCCTTTTTTTGGAGAAAAAAAATGGGCATAATTTGACAGTAATGTAGTTCTTGGTATATAAATATGCATAAAAACAACATTACTTGTAGAGTATCTATTGATTTTGTAGCTCAAATTTAACATCACAACACACTACTTGAACTTGAGGTCTTTTGGAAACAACCTATCTACTTCCAAATAGGGGTAGGGTATCCGTACACTCGCCCTCCCAACTCTATAGGGAACTATACTCAGTTTGTTGTTTGTTTGATCAATATACTACTTGAACTTCATTTAAACCAGAAACCCCACAGCCTATAGCATTCTGAAAGTTGATACTCCCACAGCTGCTGCTTTCACCAATTTTCATATCATAAAAAATACGGAGTATAAGCTAATCCCTCCGTCCCGGTTATGTTTTACCTCTTTCTTTTTATATCCGTCCCAAAATAATTTTTGCACTTTTTCCCTTTCTCTTTGGTCTCAGACATTTCTCTGGCTTAAACAAATTCTAACTACTCACCTTTCACTACATAACATATTTTCAACAGTTTTCTTAATCTACCTGAAGTGAAGTCACATCGAACAAATTGATTAGGGGCATAGGAAGTATGTGGTTCAAACTATATAAAAATCTATACAAAAGTTGACTAGCGCAACAGTATCACATCTGAAAATCAAAAGAACACTTTGATCCGATCCGTAACAGAGATAATTCGCTATCCTAATTTCTCGAATCCGATCGCTGCGCGTTCGCCGCCTTCAACCACTTCTCGCCGATTAACTTCCGATCATTAGTCACAGAAGATTCGGAGAGAAAAAAAAGGATGATTTCTCACACGCGGAGTTTACGTTTTTAACGAAGCAATTAATAAGATAGACAGAGAATCGGAAAACTTGCCGGAAAGACGGAGGAGATGCACGGCGCCGCGGTGGCCTCAGCTTGCATCAGATGGTGGTCAGACTCTCCGGGAGGATTGAAGTGGCCGAATTTGGACGTGACACAACACACGGCCCATCTGTTATTCTAGCAACCCAAACGGGCCTGCTAGAGTCTTCGGGTCTTCACCCACTTGTACCGTTACACGTTTGAATAAAATAAGGATAAAGTTACTTCTACCCAATCTTTTGTACCCCAATTTGTATCCTGCAGTTTTGCACTAACATTTTGTGTTGCTGTGGAACTAATTTTTGTTAACGCACCAACACTTTTATCCGTGTAAATTTTTGTTAACGCACCAACATTTGTGTCGGTGTAAACCATCAAAATGTTTATGTATAACTGCAGTGTACAAATAGGGTACAATTTTTGGTGTAAATGTAGCGTGGTTCATAAAATAAAGGCAAATACTAGCAAAAACAAAATATGAAGGGGGGTTTTTGTCCAATCCAACAACTTTTCCAACTTTCTCTTGTGCCAAATCATAAAAAATGGTGAGAAATTGTCTCCGGAGAAAGTCGGAAAAAGCATAGTCCTCAAGACGGAAGATGAGTTTGATGTCCACGGAAGATGAGTATGATGTCGAGGACATCAAGAAGATCGAGAACAATACCAAAACAATCAATATGCTATATTGTGCAGTGAATCCGAATGATTAATGGAAAATCTTGTGTTGTTCCACCTTAAAGCAAATGTGAGACAAATTGGAAACCACTTACGAATGTACGAATCAAGTCCGATAAGCTAAGACTAATTTTCTAACCCATAAATATGAATCGTTTCATATGAAGAAGAACGAGAGATTCGAACAATGTAGAAGTCCTAATCTTTATAATAGTTCCTTATTTGTACCAAATATGGAGCAACTTCTCTAAAGACCAAATTTTATAATCACATAGAACTAGAGTGTAGGGGTGTGGCGTCTACCCAAATATGAACGATTAAATTAAAACACCTTGATTCTGATGATACTCACTCTAATTGAGACAACTACAATATAACATTTTCATAAAATTGGTAGTTTTTAATTATCTCCCTTAATACCCTTTAAACACCCCGAGTCAGCCTCATCTTTGCCATCCTCCCTCACCATGTCTCTTTCTTAATTTTGATGTTTGGCTACTAAAACTCTTGTAGCCAATCGACGAATAAAAATACATAGGGGTTGGGGTGGAGAGTTCCGAGTTTCAATCGAAGGCGATGTGCCAATGTCACTAGAACTTTTCTAGATAAAAGTACTACTCCGATGAAGTATAATTTATAAAGTATCCAAGTGTATGAAATTGACCAAATTATTACTACTTTGGGATCAGAATACTAACTATTACCATTGATGGTCTATCATACATGCCAATGTCAAGGATCTTTTGACTCGGGTTATCTTGATCTTAAAACGAGTAGGGCACCTATAGCGCGTCATTGGTAAAGTTGGTGATTTTACACCCCTTAACCCCTCCTCATCCCCAAACCCCTCCTGCACCCCACCCAGCCTCCCTTAGATGGCCTATTTGTTCTATTTTGATTTTTACAATCAATCATTTTTTATATTCGACCTACAATTAAATAAAGTTTATAAAATACGAATATATCTATTAGATAAAATTCCAATTTGAAAACACTATATAAAATAAATCTAATAATATTGCTTTTTTATCAATATCTAAATCAATTTTATCTAATTACTAGTCAAAATTTATTAATTTTGACTGCAAAAAATCTAAATTAGACAAATACTTAAGGATAGGAGTAGTAGTAACTTTTTTATACATATGTGAAAGTGGTTTGTTTATTTTAAAACTCACTGAGCCTATATTTAGCACTCTTTTTGTCCATTTCTCTCTTTCCAATTATCAACGGTATCTCGATAATTTTTTATGTTTGCATATTTTCATTAATCATTTGATAAGATAAAACATTCTTGTGATATCTTCTTTTTGTAGAATTTCTGACGTAGGTTTAAACAATGTAATTGTATTTTTTACTGATATACTAATTTGCAAATAAAATAATTTTAATAAAAATGAAATTTCATAGATTGTTCAAAATAGGAAGAAAAAAGTTAAAAAAAGAGAGTATTAAAAGATTTCTTAAGGTTCTTTTTTATAGCTCACATACCCATCAATATAGAATGTATTCAATCTTACAATCTCAATTTATCAAGCGCAGGACATTGAATTTGAAAAAGATTATATTGTCATTTCTTAGGGTTCTTGAAATGTTTATTTTAATAAACTACGGAGTATTATTCTATCACAATTATACGTGAAAAATATCTCTAATACTTCCTCCATCGCAGAAATTTGTCCAATTTATTTTTTTCGAGTAAAATTAGATAATCTTTACTCCTCAATTACTCTTAAACAATATTACATATTAATAAATGAAATACAATTTTAAAAATTCTAAACAAGTTAAAATCTAACAAAGTGACTTTAATGCTAATATAAACTATAATTTTTATTTAATTAAGGCTCAAAGATTATCTCGTAATACTTCCTCCGTCCTAAAATGTTATTCCCGTTTCTGTTTACGAGGCTTGATCGACTTTATTTTTTCAATTCAATTTATTTGATTGTAGGTATAAAATTAAAAATTAAACTTTATATATTTAAAAAGTAAAAAAAAAAATTTCTAGAACATGAGGTGATAAGACTAAATTATTTTATTAAATAACTAACGAAAATTAGTAAAAAAATTATTAAAAATTAACCATGTAAAGAAAGAAAAACATTTCAAGATAAAGGGATATTATCGTCACTCACAATAACTTTCATTGCGAATGTAAAGATCTTGGACTTAAATTTCCTGACTTGAGGACCAACTAACCCACCCGGCGGCGTTCTTTTCAACCGGCCTGATGTTTCTCCCCAATTTCCTCTTCTTTTTTGTTCTTGCTGTCGTTGTTCAGTTGTTCTTGAGGATGGGGTGAGGAGTATTTTACTCCAGTTCGTATTCCTATACACTTTGTCTGGGCCAAGCACTTCTTCTTCTTCTTCTTCTTCCTCACCTGGCAGGAACCTTCATCTCATCTATCCAGCAAGGCAGCACCAAGAACTATAAGGTGACACGCCATCTATTGTACAATAAATTTGGACTTTGGAGTATATAGTATATTCTCCACTACCCTTGGTTCTCTTTATGAGCTGATATTAGATCTCTCTGTGATGGGCATCTTTTATTTTTTGCAATTTCCTGGACATGGGTTCTCTGTTCTTCTCCAATCACTTGTTCTTGGTACTCACAGTTAGATTGGCTTCTGCTGTTTTATGACTTCTGTTCTTGGTTGACTTGAAATTGAAAAAAAAACAATTTTTTTGAAGACTTGAGCCTCTTAATCATGAAGTTTAGTCATACATTTGAAGAAAGAAGAGCTAAGACAAGATTTTTTGATCTACTATAACTTCAGGAAATTGGAGGAAATGATATAAACATAGGTGTTTGTGATAATGCTCATTAGAATCCTGTTGTTCTTAGGTCCAGATTAAAAGCGTCTGGGTAATCTGTTACATGTGATTTCGAGTATCCTGATTCAAATCATCATTTCGATTAAGAGGAAGGAAAGATTAATCTTCTTTTTTGTTTGTTTATCTTTTTCCCTGGAATTTACTCATTTACTATTTTAGTTATATGATAATCATGTTTGGAAAGTAACTTTCTCAACCATAACTGTAATCTAAGATGTGTGTTGTATATATTTACTTGATACTTGAAATGGTAACATGTTCTTATCTTATGGTTAGTTTGATCTTGAAGGGAGATTATATCTACGTGAATCAAACTTGGTAGGACTCAAAACTTGTGAAATGACTCTTTTTGGATGCTGTTTTGGAAAAAAAGCATCTCCGCCAAGGCATCAAATAGACATTGAAGAGGGTACGTTTCAAAAAAAATATCCCGAACACGTTGATCTTAATCTTAGATGTAGAAATACAATTTATGTGTCTTCTTCTTTCGCTTTTAGATTCTGAATTGGTTATGACATTGGTACAGAAGTTTCAAGCTGTCAGAATGCTAAGATATACAGTTATAGGGAATTGCGGATGGCAACCGAAGACTTTAGTCCCTCAAATATGATAGGGAGAGGAGGGTTTGGATCTGTTTACAAAGTACTCCGTATTTATAACATTCTTCTTCATTTCTTCAAGTAAAATATCCACTTTTGGTCCCACAATCATCCTCAGTTTTAGTCTCTTACTCTAAGTTTTCCACTTTTGGCGTACCACTATCAATTTCTTGCCACTTTTGCTCATTTTTGGGCCCTTCATTTGTTAAAATCTATAACAAATTCCATGGAAATTGACTGGATAAGTGACAAGGAATCCAAAGTCGTGCACCGAAGGTGGAAAAACTGAAAGTCGGGACCAGAAAGTGAGAATTGCGTAATTGTCATGGGATTCAAAGGTGGAAATTCTTTCCTGTCTTCAATTATAGGTACTGAAGCTATCAATTGACTATTAGGGGCGACTAAGAGATGGAACTTTGGTGGCTGTTAAGGTGCTCTCTGCGGAATCAAGGCAGGGCTCTAAAGAGTTTTTGACAGAAATTGTTGTTATCTCGGGCTTAGACCACGAAAATCTGGTCAAGTTGTATGGTTGCTGTGTGGAAGAGGATCATAGGATGCTGGTATATGCCTATATGGAAAACAACAGCCTTGCCCAGACTCTTCTAGGTCTCTCTCTCTCTCTCTCTCTCTCTCTCTCTCTCTCTCTCCTCCAAATCCCGCATTGTTTTTTTTAATTCAGGATTTGAAATATATGTTATCAATCAATTGAGGGTCTAAAAGAAAGATTAAATCTATCATTAAGACCTGAATGATTGAAAATAAGGCTATATACATAGATATGACTAATACGAGTTGAACATTGACGTAGTGTGTAAATAGGAGTCCAATGGTTTTCTACCCAAATAGGAGTAAACATTCACAATGACACATTGATACAATTAGACATCCACACTGGGAGCTCCACTGGTCAGCTGCCGCCTGCCACTGCCATCCGCCAGTCGCCGCCAATGGACTCTGGTGTCAACGTGTGTCATTGAAACATTGCACCACCTCCATAAATATTGACAAGTTCATTGTCAATGTTGTAATGCCTACACTAGTTTGTTTGGTGCATCTATGGTGCCTCGTTAGTAAGAATGATGGTTCCTGCCCCCCTAACTCCCCCCCCAAACCGCTAGCCTCATCCCTACCCCCCACCCCAATATAGTGTCAGGGAGGGGTTGGGATGGGGGGTTTAGATGGGGAGTTAGGGGGGAGGGGTTAAGAACCATCATGTTTACCATCAAGGCACCATACGTGCCCCAAACAAACTGGTATAAGCAATTGGTATAAGACTTCTATTTGAGTTACCTATTAATCGAATTCTTCTCTTTTTTAACAAATTTACTTGATTTGTAGGTTCCAGGCACACTGGCATTCAGTTTAGCTGGAAGGCCCGCACAAATATATGCATTGGTGTGGCCCGGGGGCTTGCGTTTCTCCATGAAGAAGCACAACCACATATTGTTCATAGAGATATCAAAGCAAGCAATGTCCTTCTTGACAAAGATCTCAATCCAAAAATTTCCGATTTTGGTCTTGCAAAGCTCTTCCCGAATGATGTCACTCATATCAGCACCCGTGTTGCAGGCACTCAGTAAGTTTGTGTTTTTTATAGTATGAGAAAGGGAAGAGGTCAAATGCACCCTTGATGCTCCGAATTACTCCCTTCGTCTCATATCTTTCTTCTCGTCTTGACTTTGCACACTTTTTAATGTAAGAAAAAAATGTTTGAGTTTCCCTTTTTACCCTTAGTGGTGTAATGAATTGAAGAGGGATCTAAAAAAAAGGTGAATAATGCAAGAGGAACCTCTAAAAGTTCTTGCCAGAATAAACACATGCAGTTGTTTTTTCCAATGTGAATAATGTCCAGTTTTATGTGTGTACAGAGGTTATTTGGCCCCGGAGTATGCACTGCTTTCACAACTCACAAGGAAAGTAGATGTTTATAGCTTTGGAGTTCTCCTTTTGGAAATCGTTAGTGGAAGATGCCACACCAACACGCGCCTCCCCATTGATGACCAATACCTCCTTGAAAGGGTAAATAACATTATTCGATCACATTATTTTCATCCATTGCACATTCAAGGCAATGTTCGTAAAGGGTCCGTTCTGTACAACTTATTTTTTCATCTTATTACTTATTCTTATTAAAATTAGATCATCACACCGGAACATAATAGTTACAACTTAAAAAGATCAGACCGGATCTTCAAAAAATCATATTAGATCAAGGCGAATGAAACACAACCTAAGTCCTAAGACTCCTAACTGTCCATTTCCAATGGAGCTAAAAGAATCATTTTAATTTTATGCACATAATGGACTAAATACTATGAATCATTGGTCTTAATATGAATCATCACGCCTTACCAAACGATACCTTAATCACCCTATAAAAACACTCATTGCCATAAACCCATTTGCAGGCTTGGAGACTCTATCAAAGAGGGGAGCTTGTTCAGGTGGTTGATGAATCACTGGGAGAGCACTTTAATACTGACGAAGCTTGTAGATATGTGAAAATCGCTCTCTTGTGCACCCAATCGATGCCCAAAACCCGTCCATCTATGCCCAAAGTAGTCAAAATGTTGATAGGAGACATGCCCGTGGATGATTCCGCGATATCAGAACCCGGTTTGTTGTCAGAACTAATGAATCTCAAGGGTCAAAGGAAAGAGAAAGGATTAACGTCATCCAATGGCTCCGGGAATGAAGGTACTACCTCTTCGTCCGGGAACTTGACTGTATCACAGGCAACTATGACTTTCTCGTCGATATATAACCGAAGCAGTTGAATCAGAGTCAGAATTGCACCTCTCATTCTCTTGTTGTTAAATTCATATCTAATCAAATTGTGTGTGTATGTGTGTGTGTGTGTATATATATATATATCTTGATGATGAATCCCTTAGTTCATGAGAAGTTTAGCTTCAGTGTACCCAGTAAGTCTTTAGAGAGGATCCTAATTTTGTACTTTCATTCATTTCATTCATTCATACAAATAAAATGAAGTTCTCCATTGTACTATCAGGTTGGTCAAGGAAAAGAGGGTAAAATTTTTGCCCTATTGCTATTAAAAGTGCTTCTAGATTACAAGTATAAAAGGAAATCATTTAGAGGGTGTTTCGATTGTATATGAGAATACCTTTTGAGCTTCTACATTACGAAAATACAATTTCTGAGTGTTTGACAATTTACATTAGGCCATTAGCTTATGAATTATGAATTCTGTAATTATAGTTTTTCCACTTTTAGTTCAACATATAAACTAATATTCTTTGTGGTTTTACGTATTTAGGAGTACTTACAACATAAATTCTTTCTTTAGTATTCTGTTAATTAATCATTAAGCGATATACAGAGAGCCAAAGAAGCAGCAGGAGAAACGGAACTCCCCTGCACATTTGTCTCTTTGCTGAATTGCTGTTCTCTGTCAACTCATTTGAAACTCATTCGGCTCATTTGAAACTCATTCGGTCTGTTTTTTGAGCAAGAATCACAGCCTGACCTTATCTTCACCATGATACGGACTCCAAGTTCTTATGGCATTCCGGATACTACTTCGGATACTAGAGATTCGTTGAACGAACAACATGTTCCGCTTTTCCTCAATGAAATTTGGAATTGGAATTTAGCCCCAGCTCCCCGAAAACAACGTTCGACTTGCATGTGAAACCCTCCTTATCGTTGTTGCACCTCTTCATCTTCTTCCTGTTTTTAGGTTGACGAGTGAAGGCTCCCAGAGATCTTCCTTCCTGATCCGGAAGTAACCTTTTCCTTTCCTTGGGCAGTATCTCTCAACAAGATTGATCCGTTTGGATCTTGGTCCATGATGGCCTTTTTATTGATTTTGACGATTGGATCTCTTGACATAAGGAAATTCCTTGTTCTAATAATTACGTAATTACGCCGTCCCCGGTCCGGGGGTCCTCAGAGCATTTGAATAGGGATTCGTTTCACAACTCATTTGAAACGAATCTCTGTTCTCTGTGGTACTTGACTCCCGTTGGTCGAATGAGTTGAACATAGTTCAACGAATGGTCGTACCTCTCCTTTTAGTCGAATGAGTTGGAATGGCGGGACGGATTAAAGCAAGAATCCCAAAAACTATACAAACAAGGGCGGCGGAGCGAAAGCGCCGAAGTTAACGAGTGTTTGATCTCGTAAACTTCTACGCCATGAGGTTGCACAGACAGGTTGTGAACATAGTTCAACTCATTTCGTTGTTTCACATAGTGTTGAACATAGTTCAACGAAATGAGTTCAACGAACAACTCATTTGAAACGAATCTCTGTTCTCTGTACGTTGGTCGAGGAACTGCCGCATACAAAGCCTTAGCCGATCTATGGTTAACCGGCCCTTCGGCCCCAGTTGAACTATGTTAATAGTTGAACTCTGTTCCGGGCTGGATCAATCAAAGGGGGTACTACGAGCCCTCTGCCCCACGCATCTAACTAGCTCGCGTGGTTCACCGGTTCCACCGAAGAGTGATTCAGTCGATACAGAGGTGCGCTTGAAGTGGGGGGTGTGCTGTCCCTATTGGGCTGGGCCCTTCCCCATAAGGCCCCACCGTCGGGGTAATTTTCAATAGACATCTTTTGCAAATAAAGTTTATTCTATATTTAGTCGAGTTAAATTATAAATTTAAAAATATATTTTATATTATACAATTATGATTACTGTAAAAACATCTTATTATTATTCTTTTGCAAAAACTCTCTTATTATTCTCTCAATACAAATATTTTATATTGTTGAATACGGAGTACAATTTTGTAAACATTATAATTATTGTGTGTTGTTACACTTTCACAGTATAAATTTATGAAATTCCAGTATACCGGAGTATAACATTTTAAATTCATTCACTTATATGTCTTAAAATATAATTGAATATTTATCCTCTAATCACATTATACTGCTTTGCTCGCATTATAAAATCCTTCCGATGTCTCATATCTATCTTTGATTTACACGTTCTAAAAGAACAATAATTGTTTTTAATAAAACATTCATTTAAAAAACATCTATTTGCACCAAACTGTTTTCGAAATGAGGTAGTACATACAAGAAAGTTATTTTTCTAAAAAGAATATTATAACTCTAATTAAAAAAAATTAAAACCAACAAGAGTATTGTGAAGTGTGAACTTTTATAGTACAGTCAAATTAGGCAATTCCATTGATGAACACTATCAAACTTGCCAGACGAAAGTACAAAAAACGGGACAAATTGATGTGAGAAGAAGAAGATAAGAGACAAATAAACGGAAAGCTTGCTTTTCCATGGCGACCGAACCCCATCTCTGTGTGTACTGACAACTAACAATGCCGGTTCACGCGGAAGGTACTGTAGATCGCGGCCTCAATTGACCGCTCAGCTCTCCGCCGCTTCTCCTCCGCCCGTCCGCTCGCTAATTCCGACTGCAATTCCGTTTTTCCGATTCGAAATCCAAGCCACAGCCGGCGAGCTCTGCGCGAAATGGAGGCTGTGTGAGTTTCGGAGCGGAAGATTTCGTCTGTAGATTCGCGGAGACGGAGCCCTAATGTCTTTCTGAGCGCAATGCGTAGGTACAGGTGAGGATTCCTTCCTTTGATTTCTCTGTTAGCTGTTGAATAGAATTGAATTGGTTGCGATCTGTCTTCTTCTCGTTCCGCATTTGAGCTCGTACCCAGGCAGGTTTTGATTCTGTTGTTCTTCGGAAGAGCTTGGAAATGGATATGATTGCCATGAACTTCTGTGAAGCTTTATGTGTGAATTGCGGTTGCCAGTTATTAAATTTTAGAATCGTTCTGTTTTTGTTTACGAATTGCAGTTAATTCTTCTGGGATGGAGTTGTAGCTATGGTTTCGTGTCTAGGAATGACATTTTTGGTATTGTTAAATGGTGAATGAGTTACTAAAATGAATGTTGAGTTCAAATATAAAAAGAAAAAAATGACAGTAAAAGGCAATAAAATATAAATGGGGCATGTGTCACCACTTTCTTCGTCCTTTCTTTTTTCGATTTTTTTTAGGAAAAAAATAAATTTTTAAAATATTTTATAGGTAGTGGATTGCAGCAATTGAGGACACATTCAGGCAAGCAAACCAATATGTTGTTCCCCAAGGAATTTGTTGGTTTGTGTGATGATGGATTTGAGGGTTCCACAAGTGATCATCATATTTTCAGAGAGGTATTCTTTGGGACTGATGAAAGCAAAAAGAGGTGCCTCATTACCGGAGCTATCAATTTTGAATGCGAAACTCAAAATCCGGCACTTATGGTGCATGCGAGTGCCCATGGTACCCTAGCAGACTTTGGTGGGGGAGGACAAGAAAGAAAAGTGCCTTCTAGCAGCAGGTCTTGCATAGAAAGAGGTTTAAACCCGGCGGACGCTAGCATTCTGACTTTTCATGTAGTTGAATCAACTAACCAGGGGATCACCTCTTGCTCTTATCTGCAAAAGGGGCAGAGTGAGCTGGACAGAGGACGCCAAATGTGTGAAAGTGATGCTGTAAAACTAAACTCATGTTGCTTGGATGCAGATGATGGGAAAGATGGTTGTAAAATACCGTCGCCCACCTCTCAGGAGAGCAGTGTGACCAAGTTGGCGAGCAATTCTCCACTTGCTGCTGCAAAGGACACAAGGGATGTTCAAACAGCCAAGTCAAAAAAGAACGGTTCCTACTTTGTGGAACTAGATGAATCAGAGTTGTCGGTGGTTAAAGATGCTCCAAATGATCCTCGTCCTATTCTGCGGTACCATATCAATCGCTTACTAAAAGCGGCAGGATGGGTAATTGGGAGGCGTAGAAGGACTGGTAAATATAATGGCATTGGAGAATATGTTTATAGATCACCTGAGGGAAAACTTATTCGGGAGTTTCGTAGAGCTTGGCTATTTTGTGGTGAGAGTTTGATTACTGATGAAAATAGGGCCATACACGGCGGAGAGCATAAGGTATGGGCTGACATGGATCAGTTTAGATCTGACCTAAGTAGTACTGTGTCAGTGATTGAAGATAAACTGATTGTCTTGGAAACAACTTCATCATTGGCTACTCTATGGTGCCTTCTTGATCCTTTTGCAAATGTTGTATTCATTGACAAGACTTTGCACCTTCTTAAAGAAGGAATAACAGTCATACCAAACAGAACTTTACCTAGATATGTAGAGGCTGTACAAGACCAGCTAGACGAGAGAAGTGTGGATGATCACTGTATACACAAAGAGTGTTGTACTGCTGAAAGTTGCCTGAACCTTGAACAGTCACATACAGAGGAAGGGGGGTGTGGCAACAGTTCAGTTTCTGATATGAGGCTCATGAACTTACCACCACAGACTTTCAATGAGCCACCTCATAAATATAGGAAAGTTTCATGTAGTGAGACTGGGATTTTAAATCAAAGTCCCTTTCCATCTTATGGATCTGATATTACCTCTGAGCTGGCTGGTAGTTGCTTGTTTGAAGTTCCTGTTAGTTTGGAAAATATGCCAACCTTATTCAGTAATCAAGATTGCAGCACAAGTTCCCTAGTATATCATGAGAAAGAAGTACACGCCTTTGATGTAAAATTTCTGAATCAGCCAAATTCTATATTGCAGGAGTCTCTAGCTTTTGTTTCAAACCATGTTTTGATGGATATGACATGTGTAGAAGCAAGGACTGAAGGTATATCTTGTGCCACGAACTCTTCCTCTAGAAAGAAAGCACAGAAAAAATCAAGAAAGATATCTGAAATGAAACCATCGAAATTATATCAACGTGAAAGATTGGTATCTATTACAAATGATTCCTGTGAAATCAAAGAAAAAGGAATCTACAACAAAGTTCGATTAATGAAATGTAATAAATTTCATCCTGAAGATGATGATCTTTTGGTTTCAGCTATCATAAAAACTAAAACCTTCAAATATGCAAGAAAGAGACGCTCTGGTAAATCCAAGCCTTTGAGGAAAATGAAGAGCCATAAAGGCAGATGCAAATTGCTCTTACGAAGCCTTAATAAGGGTGGAAAGCACTTCCTTGACGGAAAGTGGTCTGCCTTTTCTTCAAGAACAGTTTTGTGCTGGTTAGTTCATTCTCGGGCAGTTCCCCTAAATGAAGTGATCCAGTATAGGAGTCTAAAGGACGGCTCTGTGCTGAAAGATGGCTTTATCACTAGTGACGGGATATTATGCAAGTGCTGTAACGAAGTACTATCACTCTCGTCATTCAAAAATCATGCCGGTTTCAAGCTCAATCAGCCATGTTTGAATCTTTTCTTGGAGTCCGGAAAGCCACTCACATTATGTCAACTTGAGGCCTGGTCAGCTGAATACAAGGCTAAGAAAGCGCTTCCTATAACTGTACACACTGATGAAATGGATCCAAATGATGATAGCTGTGGGCGCTGTGGCGATGGTGGTGAGCTGATTTGTTGTGATAATTGTCCATCGACATTTCATCAAGCATGCTTGTATGCACAGGTTACCCATCCCACTTTCTACCTTTAAACAAATTTACTACTCATAGCTTTATTTTAACATTTCTATACTGTATGTTATAAAATCATCTCAGCAAAGACATAGTTTCAAGTAACGCTTTCTTAGTTTAGCTATTTTCTTTGCTCCAGAGATCCATGTTCTGGCATTGACTCCCTGCGTATAGAGAAACTGTAACACCTAGTTTTCATGGAATTGCTTGCGTTCTATTTCCAACATTGTTGTAAGAAGAAACAAAAGTATATTCTAAATGTAGAAAAAGTTGGTTCATTATATAGTTAAAAGTATTCCTAACTATTGTTCGGAATTTAAAATATATCCTAAACTCAATTTTGGGTGTCCTAGGTTCATTTACAAAATTTGAGGAGTTGCTCATTACAAATTATTTAGAGATTTTAGGATTCTAAATTTCATAGGTATTTTAGTGTCTCTAAAGATGTAATTTAAATACCTTTCATCATCCAGTTCTCTGAAAAAATGCCCTTAAAATGAACTGCTTTGAGAATTATAACCCTCTAAATGAGATTTTAGAAGAATACCCATCTTAATGAAACCTCCACAAATCCTATAATGCCCCTTCTGTACTTCTTCAATGCCTGGAATACCCACTTTGAGACCTTGAGTGTGTTGAATCCATCCACAACCCACATTTAAGAATGAGTAAACTTCTCAGCATGACTCCGCCAATGCTGGATGGGCATAAATAAATCAGTCAAAATGTTTGTGGAGATTAAGCCAGATTTAAATATGAGATGTGTAAAAACCGTGTTCCCAATTGAATTTAATTTTCAGTCCTTAAAGTTTAATATGCATAAGTGATGTCAAGACTGGATGATAAACTCTTTCTTTCATTTGGATTTGATTTACAAGACTCGTAATTTCTCATACATTTGGTGTGAAATTTGTTTAGCTTTTGATCATGTCATGTTCAACCTGAGTGACCAAATGCCTTGTATTCTCATTCAATTTTCATATCCAACAAAAATAACCCAGTTGGATCCCACGAAAGTAGGGTCTGGGGAGGGTGTGTGTGCGCAGACATTGCCCCTACTCAAAAGTAGAGAAGTTGTTTCCAAGAGGTCCTTGGCTTAAGCTGCATAGATAAAAAGATCACAGGAGATACTTCAAGTAGAGAAAGCACAGATATAGCACCAAGCACACAGGGCAAAGAACAAACTAAATTAACGAAGGAAAAGTACTACGATCAAATAGCACCATTTTTTATATAAATATAAAAAACCGAATTTGAAAATAATATGTTATTCTCTCTAGTTTACGGATTTTGTAGTGGAGATTAGTTAATGAATGAATAAATTAACATTGTCCATCTTTTTCAGGAACTTCCTGAAGGCAGTTGGTATTGTTTTCATTGTACCTGCCAGATTTGTGGGGATGTAGTTAGAGAGAATGAGGAATCTTGCTCTACAACCCTGGGTCCGTTAACATGTGTGCAGTGTGAGCATAAATGTATGACACTAACCAACTTTCTTTCTTCTTTTGAGAGTGTATATCATTTCTACTCCCTGAATTATACCCCCCAGTCACTCTTAGTCATGGGATATCTAATGTCACCATATTCATTCCCAGAGTTTTCCTAAGTAGCTATTTTAGACTTTTAGTCCTTCTCAATTAGGGTTTCAAGGACTAAAAACACAACTTATGCATACTAAAATGGTTACCTCAATTTATAGAGGAGTAAGAGTTACAAGGGTATATAACTCAGTGACTTAAAGTGTTATTTTCCATCTAATCTGCTAACTCTACTTATCATTTATTTCTTATTATTTTTAACTTAAGCCCAGGATTTCATTGATACTTGCAAACAGATCACAAGGCATGCTTGAAGGAGCAAGGCATAGAAGGTGGAGAGACACCAGTAACCTGGTTCTGCAGTGAAAGCTGTCAGGAGGTAAACGTCATACCCTATTTATCATATTTTATTTCTGGAAAAGGCATGAAAGAAAGACTTTATAAACTGTCGTCACAGATTCCATCAGCTCCACCTCAGCATCATATACTAGATCATTACATGAATACTTTCAACAGTCTCCTTACATTTCAATGTACTGAACTATACCAACATGATGATGGTCATTCTATGCTGTTTTTCGGAGTAACTTGAGGCATCAATGTATCATGCAGGTTTACTCAGGTCTTCAGTCTCACATGGGATATGCAAATCTTCTTTCTGATGACCTGTATTGGACACTTCTGAGGTGTACTCCCAACGAGCAGAAAGTTTGTTCTGCTCAGCGATTTGTTGCATTGAGAGCAGATTGCAACTCCAAGTTAGCTGTTGCTCTTACAATCATGGAGGAATGTTTTCTCCCAATGGTGGATCCTAGAACAGGCATAGACATGATACCTCAAGTAATCTACAACTGGGGGTGAGTGCATCTTTTGTTGGATGTTGGGCATCGGCTTTATTTAGTGCTTCCCAATCAACTTAAACCTGCATGGCTTTTTCAAAAGGGAGATTCTGAACAGGGGAGAGTATTCTTTATATCTTCATGCATTTTGACATTGCTTACAGAATTGATAGTAGATGTCAATTCTACAATATTACTGCTGTATTTAGTTTATCTGTATTTAGCAAAATCTTACACCAGATTTTTTCGTAGGCTTCTATGGAATTAAAAATGAGATGAAATTCCCATTTTGTCATGACAATAGATTTTCCACTTGTGTGGAAAATTGAATGAGATGACGATGGGTTGAGATAAAGCATTATAGTCATGTCCCATTGCAAAATTGATATTATTATAAAATCAAAATGAACATCAACATGACTGTTTATTTATTTTATCCTGCACAAATAAAATGTAGGGAGGTTGGTTATTGAAATAAAAATAAACCTGATTTTTAATTCGAGGAAGTTTGTGGACCAACATGTTTACTTCTATGCAGATCACAATTTCCTCGTCTAAATTATTATGGGTTTTACACGATGGTTTTAGAGAAAGATGATGTGTTGATATCCGTAGCTTCAATCAGGTATTTAATGGTGTATTTTCCGGTATATATTTTTTTAGGTGTTTTTCATTCCCTTTGTTAATGGAAGCAAATATTTCTGTAAGAGCATTTATAAGAAGGCGCGACACATAAACAGTAATTAGTGAAGTTACCCCATAGCCCAACTGGGTGCCAAAGGGTTTACTCAAACTTATGAGTTGGACTGTATTGATACTTTCTCTCTGGCCGCCAAAAATGCTTCTATCAAATTGTTTGTATACATGGCAGTTATGAGTCATTAGCCACTAATCTAGTTGGATATAGCATTAAAAATGTTTTTCTTCATGGTGAGTAACTTACTTGACAAGGTTTGTATGGGGCAATGAGGCAGTCGTTATGTTCTGTTTCCAAGGAGAGTCTAATCTTGTATGCCAATTGTGCCGGTCTTTAAATGGACTGGCTTGCAATTCCCACAACCCTGATTTGGAAGATTTTGTGATCCTGTTTCATGCATTTGGCATGAATTGAGGTTCTGTTGATCATCATGTTTATTGCCAACTGTCTACAAATGTTAAATGCATCTATTGTGTAGTTTAGGTTGATGATATTGTTATTACAAGCAATAGTTTAATATGCATTACTCAATTGAAAATCTGAATTTCTCTAAAAGTCCATGATTTTGACTGCAAACAGTACTAAAAATCACCGCCTAGCTCCATATAGGCACTAGATCTCCCTAGAATTTCTGACAGGCAATTTCATCCCAAAATTTTCTAGACTTGCAATATATCATATGTGAAATATTGCAAAGATTATGAGACTAAATGGATTGACTGGAAACACTTCACTTAGTTCTACTTCCATTTTCTTAGGAAGTTTGAAAATTTTACTTCCTCTTATTCACCCTGATGGCAATGCAGGATCCATGGAACTAGGGTTGCAGAGATGCCTCTCATTGCAACCTGCAGCAAATATCGTCGTCAGGGGATGTGCCGTCGCCTAATGAATTCTCTTGAGGAGGTATTGTTGTATCTCTGTATTTGGAGTATATAAGGTTATTTGATATATTCTGTTAGGGCTGGTTTGGATGGATGGATTTTGAGCAATATTTTGGAGGGGGGGTCTAAAGGGTCTTTTTGGATGTAAGGTTTTGGACATGAGGATCTTGAAGAGCTTACTAGCTTAGTCATGTAGAACGAAGGGAATAAGTGACCGTAAAAAGTCAAATTGGACGAATACTCTAGGATGAAGGGAGTGAGTAGGACATTGAGTTCAACATAGCCCCCAAAACCCTCCATCCAAACACAGCCTTAATGCTTGACGCGTCCATCTACTTTCTATTTGCAATTTTCCAACTATATTTCAAGTCTTTCATCTCTTTTAATCTCTTTCGATCTCAAAAATTCTTTTGGGTGGTTTGATTGTGGAACCCATCCAGATGCTCAAATCACTCAAGGTTGAAAAGCTGGTAATATCTGCGATTCCCAGTTTAGTGGAGACATGGACACTAGGTTTCGGTTTCGAACCATTGGAAGATAGCGAGAAACGAAGCTTGAGAGACGTCAATCTTATGGTGTTTCCCGGAACCGTATGGTTGAAGAAAACTTTGTACGTGAACACTTCCCCTTCTAGAGAGGTCGGTCCAACTGACCCCCGATCTTCCTATGAAAATGACCATAATACCCCTACCAACCAAAATCCCGCCAAAGAACCCACCTTCGAAAATGACCATACTCCCCCTAACAACAAAAATCCCTCCGATGAACTTATCAACAAGCGGATATTCCCCCCGCGTAATGATTCCTCCTCGTCTTTGACACTTAGTGAAGCTGTAGTAGTTTGTACCGCAAAAGCTGCAGACCACGAAGAGTAGTTTGAAGTACAACTCTCTCTTGCAGGTAGAGTAGAAATGGTAGGTGATAGACAGTTTTGTGTGGATGATATGTAATTTATATAATAAAATAAAATAAAATAAGTAGAGTACATTGTATCAGGTATATGTTGCAATTCTGAAGGCAATGTTACAATTTACACATACAATGAAGTTAAAATTGTGACATGTTTTAAATATTGTGTCATTCATAAATGCTAATGAAGAGATGGCCTTTGTTTTTATGTGAGTCACTTCTCTATAGTCTTTTTACATAAGGTTGGACATATTAGGAGACTTTAAGGGCATGTTTGATTGGAGAGGAGTGGGAAGGGATGTGTGTGTGGGGGGGGGGGAGTGTTTAGTTTTTTTTTTAGAACCGCGTTTGGGGATGTGTAATTGATTTTTTACCTGAAAACTACAATTTTCAAACGGCTAGGTTCCCTTGACATTGAACCCAATAATGTAGGATTAAATATTTCCAACCTCTAAGTGAAAAAATAAATTATGGTTGAACCTTTAATTTCCTTAAAAAAACAAAGTGATTACCATCCCTCAAACCAAACATGCCCCAAGAGGAGTTATGTGAATACTGTGTGATGAGTAAGGACCAAATGGATTAGTTACTGTATTCATGGACTAATTAGGGATTTAATAATATTTCAAAGACTCTAGATTCCCCCTAGCTTGTAATATTATGCTCAAATCATGAAATGATATGAGGATCCAAACCCCAAGATTCCTTAACATGTGATCTCGATCCCCAATTGGTTTGAGCTGTCTTTTATTTTTTACTACCTCCGTCCCGTCCCAATTTATAACGCCTGTTTCGGTTTACGATGTTTGACTGAAATTATTTTCAAACCATTTTATATGACAAATGGTATAAAATTAAAAAATAAAAATTACATATTAAAAAATTACATTAAAAGATCTACAAAACTAGTAGTGACAATAATATTTTATTTTATCAAATTGCTAACGAAAATAGAGAAAGAAAGTGAATGAAGTTTGACCCTGTGAATAGTAAACAGACGTTATAATTTGGGACGGAGGGAGTAATTATTAGGGAGTTACTCCATCTGTCCCGTTTTAAATCGCCTGTTTTGACTTTTGGGCATATTTAAGAAAAAGAAAAAATAAAGTTGATTTTTCGAAATTGCCACTACTTTTTAAAAGGGATGACGATGAATGACAAGATAAAGTGGAGAAGAGTGACTTATTTTAGAGGTAGTTTAGGTATTTTACTCTTAAAAGTTTACGAAAACAAGTACTAACAGATAACTTATTTTGGGACGGAGAAAAAAAGCAAACATGCAATTTAAAGTGGGACAGAGGGAGTATTTATTATTATTATTATTATTATTATTATTATTATTATTATTATTATTATTATTATCATCATCATCATCATCATCATCATCATTATTATGATTATTATCATTATCATTATATTGACACCAAAGTTGAGTGTCATATCATCACACTCGTCCCCCTAATCTCTCCGGTAAACTCCCACCCCGGCCCGATTCGAACCCACCCTGCCCAACTCGAACCCCCTAATCTCTCCGGTACACATAATGAAACCGTATGTGTATTCAAAATCTGATCGCTTCTCTAAGAACATATAAAGAAACCTATCACCAAGAAATAAGAATACGCTTAATTATTAGACCTAACTGTGGGAGAGGGAGTGCTAAACTTGAAGCTAATTATTTATTTAGAGGCAAAAATTTAAAAAAAATCCTTAGACCTGTGATTTAGTGAGAGTTAATTACAGTAATTAATCTGCATGCATTGCATGTATAGGACAAGTAGTGCATAGTTAGATGCCCATGCATTAGTGACATTACCCTACAATTATGTACCAAAGTAGAGTTATGGGCAAAACGAGCTAGACAGATAAGTCAAGTTAGGGCCTGTTTGGCACACGAAAACTGTTAGATGTTTTTGTTATACTCCCTCCGTCCCTAAATAAAGTTCCTCTTTCGTTTTTTCTTTGTCTCTAAATAAACTTCTCTTTTTCCTTAAAAAACCCTTTTTACCCCTTACTTTTTCATACCCTACCTATCACATCATACCTTTTTACTAATAATCTATCTATCACATCTTACTTTAACACATCACATCAAGGGTATTTTTGGAAAGTCAACACCAAAATATCCCTCCCTTAAACCCTCAAAAAGTCAAAAATAGAACTTTATTTAGGGACGGAGGGAGTACTACTCATTCCTTCGTCCTGTATTAATGTTCTATAATTGACTAGACATGGAGATTTAAAACAATGAAGTCGTGTGGTTGAAAAGAAAAAATGATATTAGTCACAAAAAAAATTGTCTAATATGGACATCAAATACCTGTATTGAATGTTGGAGTATGCATATATACCTCATTCTAACTCTGCACAACTGTATTAATATGATACTCACTTCTTCTCGAAATATTTTTTACATTTGACATTACAGTTATATCATGCTACAATGCATTTTCTTCACATATCGAGGTTAAAATTTATAATTTTTAACCAAGAAAATATGAATAAGGAGAAAAATTATAGACGGATGGATTATAATTTACTTTGACTCAAACACTCATGTTTTAATTTTTAGAAACTCTCCAAAAGGTCTTTTGATCAATTTGTTTTTTTTTCCAGGTGTGGGATAATATTTGCTCCCACCATTAAAATGTTTTACACTAATACATTTTAAGACAATTTTTTACGCGGTCCTAAAGTCCAGATTCATTTTATAAAATTTGGTGCAAAGATACCAAGAAAGAATTGGACCTTTTACAAAAAAGAAAGCAATCGCTAGTCGCTCCATAAAAATGTGAGAATGCCTACATTTTCAACTCGATACTTTTTCTACTCACCTTCGTTATTCTTGAGCATCCTCTTTAATTTATATTTCATCTCGAAATATATTTTGGTAACTAATTCTGCAGAGACAAAACCTTTTGAAAAGTAAAAAATATAGTGATTACTAGTAAAACTTAACTGAAGAAAAGAGAAAGATTGTGAGTGGGATATTTAATATTAATACTTAAATAGAAAAAGAAAATTTGTGAAATTCATTCTCTAATTTAATTGTAGGATTTGACCACACATAAACCTTTAAAAAGTAGATGATTAAAATTTGTATAGAGAGAAATAATTTTGAACAATTAAAAAAGGAATTTGGGAACCCTAATATAGGAGGAGAACTATTTTTTTCGGTGAAATAGAACGAAATTTAATTCGCATTTAATTTATCCATCAACTGTATTTGTAATTTCACATTTGTAGTCAACTACTCACTAGTCCCTACATGCCACAACTAATTTTGCTTGTTCTTTACTTTTCTATTTAAATTATTCAAAGTTTTTTCAGGAAAAAATGCTATATATTTGAAATTGTGCTCTCTTTTTTTAAATAAATTTTAATTACTCTATTTTCAATTTCTTAAAAAGAAAGTTGTATGAAAATAATAGTAATATTTATTATGGGTGGCAAGCATCTATTTTTTCTAATTTCACACATTCAAGTGTTTTTCCGGTCAAAGGTAAATTATATTGTTACAATATGACTTTAATTTTATTATTATTACTACCTCTGACTCAAAATTATAATCATAATTTGAGATTTTTGGGTCAAATTATGACATTTTTTCAATAAATTAAATATTATTTTAAATAAATACTTGAATACATGTTACAAGAAATTGATATGTCAAAACTATATATTAAAAAAGTCTAACTAAATTAAAATTACGTTATAATTGAATATATTTTTTTCCATAATTTATAGACAAAAAGCATCAATGTTTGAAATAAAAAGTCAAACTAGAACAATAATTCTAGGACGGGAAAAGTGTTTATTTTGTTATTTATTGTTTACTTCTCAAGACTTTTTCAATTCATATTGAAAATGTGTGCCGTTTTGTTTCTAGCTAATATACCCCAATATCCCATGAAAGTGAAATCCGAATTGTTAGAATATTAAAAAAAATTCTTGGGCCACACTCACAAAGTTGAGTTTTTGATTGAGTTAGTTCCTTGGCACGAATTGTTTGAGTTAAATGAATAAAAATATAATATGATCGGTCAAATTTGAAAATAAAATTAAAACTAGATTATTTATTTGAAAACACTAAAAAAATTTACCTACAAAGCACTCTCTAAAAATAAAAACATAAAAATAATCCTTCATACCATAAAACAATTAAGAAAAATACATATAATAATAAACCCATATATGTAAAATGTACTCCGTAATATTGCTGCTACATTTAAATCAAAAATAGAAAAAAAAATAAATGTGAATATACTCGTGTAGACCTTTTCAAAAAAGAATACTCGTGCATTTAGAAGATCAAATATGAATTAGAGTTTAAAAATAAAAATGAATACACGTTTAATAATGTTGGAAATAAAACTCAAAAGATTAATAATTATATGCTCATATATAATTAATATTCTCTTTGTTCCATAAAAAAACTTTTCGTCATTTCCTTTTTGGAACGTTCCAAAAAATTACTTATAAGCTATTTTTAATTTAAAAGTTTGATGATGACAAGTTTTTCTGTGTTCTTAAGCTAACCTATAAGGAGCTTATAAGCTAGAAAAGATAAGTGAGTTATACCTACTTATTTTCAAGTCATTTTTTTCAATTTTTTTGGACCAGATTATTTAAATAACTTTTATTTACCATTTATGAATATTTTTAAATGAATTATCTACCATTTAAATCATTTTACTTCTACAAAAGAATATTTAGTTTATCGTCAATTTTACGAACAGGAACACAGGGGTACGAAACACCCCGAATCATCTTATGATATTGCTGAGCAATGTCACCTTAAGAATTACCCTCTTTGACAAGTGGGGATTAAGATGGAGACTTAAGATTGAGGACTTTTTCCTACCCAAAACGATGAGCCCCATTCCTCGCGTTGATAATTAGTTCGTATAACAAAATTGACCATTGGACCACAGAAGCTTCCGGTGGGAAGTCTCTCGAGTCATCCGGCCGGCGGCCACGCGGTTAAACTGAAAGAACACCTTCCGATCGACATAATATAAATACTTGGAACTGATTGATTATTGCTTTGATTCAAGCCTCGTGATGATGACCGTTTCTACTAGTCCAGGCCGCCCTGTCACGGCGGAGCAAGAGGCGGCAGTCCGACCATTGGCCCCCGGCAACAGCCAACGCATGGACGCAGCCGAAAGCGGAATGAGGCGGCGGAAACACCGGTGCAGCGCCGTTTGTTGCGGCGTGGCAACGGCGATTGTTATAACAGTCGCGGCGGCGGTGCTTGTTGTATTGGCCTTTACGGTGTTCCGGGTGAGGGACCCTAAGATCCGGATGGAGTCCATCCAGATCGACGGTCTCAGTTCCCTCACCGCCGCGAACCCGGTTGACTCGAATCTCAACGTGACCCTCTCGGCCCGGCTCGCTGTCAAAAACCCGAACGCGGTCTCGTTCAAGTTTGACCGGACCACGACGAGTTTGGTTTATGACGGGAGGGTGGTGGGGGAGGCCGAGGCTCCTCCTGGGAATGCCCGGGCCAGGCGGACCATGACGTTGACCGTGACGGTCAACGTCATGGTCCGGGATTTGCTGGCTGGCGCGCCGTCGCTGTCGCGCGATTTGATCGCGCGACGAATGCCGGCTTCGATGTCTACTACCATTCGTGGGAGGGCAAAGGTTTTGATCATAAAGAAGAGCGTGACGGTGAGAATGAATTGTAGCATGGTTCTCAACTTGTCAAGCCAGGACATTGATGATCTTGATTGCAACAAAAAGGTGTCCCTTTAAGATACAATTTATTAAAAGGGTAGCAATATATATATATATATATATATGAGCTTGTACTTAATTGAGTGTTTTTTTGTACATAATTGAGTGTGTTTATGGAGGCATCATGGGTCTTTGACAGAGGATTATGCGAGGGGATTAAAGACATAGTGGTTTGTGGAGGTCATTTAATTTCTTTTGGGATCTCAAATGGCTACTTACATCCTTACCTAATAAATGTATGTGGGGGGTTGGGGTTGAGTTTGGTGGTTAAGGCTTCATCATCATATGCATTCGTGGCCTCAAAGGCGTAATTTTAGGTGCTTCACGACTACATCTTAAGAGACAATGGGCCTGTTTGAGAATAGCGTTAGAGATTAGCGTTAGCGTTTTGGATAAAATTTTAACGGTGCAGATTACTTTGAAAACGCTAACGCTAAACGCTGCCTGTAGATAGCCTTTTCAAAACGCTAACGCTAATCGCTAACGCTATTCCCAAACAGGCCCAATGATATACTCCCTCCGTCCTAAAACTTTCACCCCAGAGCACTATTCCAACTTCACGGGAATTTATATTTATTTCTGTTTTTTCATGGCCTATATGATAAAATAAAATATTCTTGTCACCACTTGTTTTGTTGAACTTTTGATGTAGTTTTTAAATATGTATGTTTTATTTTTTATTTCTATACCAATATTTAAATAAAATAGATTGAAAAAACTTGGGATTTTTCTTCGTTTTGCGCAACGAGAAGATAGTTTTAGGATGGAGGGAGTATGTGGCATAGATTTTGATGATGGTTGTGTTTTGGCGTGCCTTCATGATACACACCGCCCCCCTAAAGCCCATCATGCATTAGCGAGTGTACTTTTTAGTAAGATTGTGTAAGTTGAAAGTACGCTTAGATATGATCATTATGCGAAAAGTCATTTTTGAATGTCTACGAGTACCACACGCCTAAGACTTTCTTCTTGCCATTTCCATAGATGGGATTGGCCAACATATGTATCCAGTGGAGTTTCATTCTACCTTCGAGTATCGACTGAATGATTCCCTTATTTCCGGTTGATAAAATATTTCTTGTTTCTCACAAGGCGTATTTAATTTAGATTCATTTGGAGAGCATGCAGTACATTGTAGAGAGATATCTGAGTTTAATTACCGACATAATTTAGCCAAGCACATTCTCTTTAACCTGTTTCAGCGTGTCGGGATTTCTGTTAAAAAAGAAGCACTGGTGAATTTCTTGACTGACCCGCTACATTAGAGGGAAGATCAACACTCAGATCACCCGCTGCAATTTTGGTTTTTTGAATGGATGGGTGGGAAACACTTGTGTGGATTTGATAGGGGTTTATCCTCTTGTGAACTTGGGGGATAGTATTTTTACGGTGGCCAAGTTTCGTTAAAAGTTGATTCATGCAAAGTAACCAAACACGAGAGAGCGTGTCTCAAAAATCAAATGGGTTAGATCTGAATCCATTAAAACGGGAAGTTACCGGAGTTGCTCCTCCCTCGCTATATCCTCCGTTCTTCTGCCATTAATAGCTAGCTGCTACACTATCAGATTGCAAAATGGGAGGATATGTCTTGATTAATATAATAGAGAGTGAAATCTCTCCCTGGAACGTGTAATGATCACATGATATACTCATATACATGATCGTCCTGTATCGTTGTTGATGGAAGTCGAATTCAGACATTACCTTCTTTTGTATTGCTATTATCGATTAAATTACACTCCGCCTGACAAATACTCTCTTTGTTTCAAATTAAATTGCATGTTTACTGCCCACATATATGGTCAACTTTCATTCACTTTCTTTTCTTATTTTTGTTACTCATTTGGTAAAATAATATAGTCATGTCACATCTTGTTTTGTACTACCTCCGTCCCATTTTATAACGCCTGTTTCGTTTTACGATGTTTGACTGAAATTATTTTCAAACCATTTTATATGACAAATGGTATAGAATTAAAAAATAAAAATTACATATTAAAAAACTACATCAAAATATCTATAAAACTAGTAGTGACAATAATATTTTATTTTATCAAATTGCTAACGAAAATAGAGAAAGAAAGTGAATGAAGTTTGACCCTGTGAATAGTAAACATGCATTATAATTTGGGACGGAGGGAGTAAAATTTTTGATATAGTTTTCACATACACAAATTATTATTTTTAATTCTACCTTCATTCTCAAATAAATTGAATTAATATTAACTTTAACCAAACATCGAAATTTAAAACACGCAATTTAAATTAAAACAAAAGAAATATACTCCCTCTGTCCCTTAAAATATTTCAACTTTCACTTCTTACGCGTCCCATAAAAACATTTCAATTTTGCTTAAATGGGCACAATTATCCTCATTTTTCTTAAATCTAACCAAACCCACCTCAAGTATCTTCTATGTTCTATCTATTTTGAAATTTTCTGAGTTTAATTGTTTCAATTATCGTCTTTTTGCCTTTGTTAAACTTTAATATCTTTCCGTCCCAAAAATCAAAACTAGAAAAGTTTTTCGGGATTGCGAGTATACTAGTAGCTCTAGTAGTCTACTAGGGGTGTAGGGTATGTAGTAGGAGCTTTGCTTCTAAACAAAGAGTAGTTACTCTCCTAATTGCCAACCAAATAATTGGCAAAAGAAATCCAAAAACAAAAAAAACTTGTGAAACATTACCGTCCAAAATAAGCCATGGGCGAGCGGTGGAATAAAGTCAAATAGAAAGTGTGGAGGGAAAAGGAAAGGGAAACTCAATTCTCTCTTCTTTTTTTTTTCTTCCCCCAATTTCAATTTTCTTCCTCTTTCTCACTGTAAAAAAACCATCTTTCTTCTCCCCCTTCTCTCTCTCTCTCACACACAGACACTGGCATTCATTCTTTGCTTCTCCTCCCCGTTCTTTTTTACACCACGAGATCCCCCATTTCTTTCTCTTCTTTAATCTTTGCATGTCTCCTCTTCCTCCTTCAGCAGAGCTTCTCTTCTTCCATTGCAGCAGAGGGCATAGTTAGGATACTTTTATACATACACTGAGCTTTGTGTGTGTAGATTTAACTGGGGAGGATTTATTGGGGTTTTGGGTTTGCGGGGATGTCTCATTCCAGAAGGGCTTCCATGTCGGATGCTGGGATTGACGGGCTGGGTGATCGGTTGAGGAAATCGCTCCGTTTCAGGGATGGAAACAATGGGTCGGAGATCGATAAGCCGGATTTCAAGGAACTCGATCTGGGTTCTCCTGTCTCCCCCTTGCAGGCTCGGGCCAGTACTAGCTCCAGTTCTTCTGGATCTGGGTCGGGTCGGAATCCAGCACCGAAGCGGTCGGACGGGAGCCACTCCGGCGAGTTGTCCGGTTCTGGGGAGAGTTCGCGCGGGTTCAATCCGGGCCACTCGCGGTCCAATTCGGGTTCTGGGGGGAGCTGCGTGGTCAACTCTCCGCCGTTGAATGCGCTTCCTACCGGGAACATCTGCCGGTCCGGGAAGGCTTTGAAGACTGGGATGGCGTGCAAAACGTCCAAGACTGACGTTTTGGGGTTAGGGACTGGGAATTACGGCCATGGGAGCATAATACGCGGCGGAGGAAGTCAGAAATCCGGCGGAGGTTCCGGCGGCAGAGATGGAAGTTGTGGCATTGCCTCCAATTCAAGAGGGCCAACTTTGAGTAGCGATCCGGAGGAGTTTAGGAGGATGGGGAATGAGAATTACAAGAAGGGCAATTTTGCAGAGGCTTTGAATCTTTACGACAAGGCTATTTCCATATCTCCGGGCAACCCGTCCTACCGGTGTAACCGGTCAGCAGTTCTGATCAGTCTGAAGAGATATGCAGAGGCTGTGAGAGAATGTGAGGAAGCTATTCGGTTGGATCCCAGATATGTTAGAGCCCACCAACTATTAGGCTCTTTGTTTCTTAGGTGAGTATTTGATTTTTTTTTCTTTTCCCAACAAAAATCAAATCTTTTTTTTATCAAATTTCCATTCGTGTTCTTTTGATTCCAGCATTTCGTGTCCCATTCTAAATTTTGCCCAGTTTCTTATGGTTGGTAGGTGTTAAAGATCTGTTCCTTTTCTTTGCATTGGTTCTTTGATTGATAAGATTAAGAATTGCATTTGGTTGGAATGGATGTAACCCCTTACCAAACGGCCCTCATAAAATTTGGTCAGAGTTTATGTAAATGGGGTTCACCTTTTCAAGATCTGGTTCTCATTTGGGTAAACTAGTGAATTGTGGAAGGTTTGTTTGGATTGTTTTGGTCATTGCCACTGTTAGATATTCCTTATGTTCCCTTTAGGAGCTGGGCTGTCCTTGTTTTTAGCCATAGTACTGTCCTTCCCTTTAGTCATAGTACTGTCCCTGCTTTTAATTATCTCACTGTTCATATTTTTTTTGCCTTTTACTTGCATAGATTCTGATCTCTAAGAGTCCATGGCAATTCCAAATTCCTTACTAGTATTTCACTTACTATGCTTGGAGGCATAGTTGGGAATGTGGGCTTTGTCAGTTATAGTAAAGCATTGAATTTCATGATTTCTTCTGCTAGTACATCAGAAAGAAGCTTATAAAGAATGTGAGACACATGACTCTAAAACCAGAAAGAAGCTTTGAAAAGGGTTCTTTCAAAAGGTAACAATGATAGGCGGGTTTTGGGCCCAACGGGCCAATGCCTAGGTGGGCCGCCTGTGTGGGTCGATTGAAAAAATAAGAGTTTTTCTTTGAGCAGTTGTAGGTTTGGATAAAATGGTAATTGGATAATTTCACTGAGTGAAATCACATCGCTTGAAGGATGTTTTTTGTAATTTCACTCTCATGACACCTAAAGCTTGACCTAAACTAATGCTTGGCCATAGAAAGACCAGCGCCTCGGCGGTTTTTCTTGATTTTTAAGATTTATTATTTATCAAATGCAATTCACTTGGACTTGAGAGATTAAGATTCTATATTTCTATTCATGCCAAATGTCTAAAATAGAGCATTATTTTTCAAGATTGTATTGATTCTGATTAGTGAAAGATGATTGTGTTTAAAATGGTGTTGCTGTTGTTCACTCTATCCCTTTTTTCGCATTGTCTTATGGTTGTTGTTATATAATAGAAGTGTTTGAATAATATCAGTTTCAAGTCTTTGAGCAGATATCTACTATGAATCTATTTGAGTTCAACCACCACTCAATATCCCGGATCCAAACGTAGCCCTGTGTTATTGGATTTTGTTTAACATATATTTAGGAAATCTAATCCTTCTATGGTCACAGTTTAGGGCAGGTAGAGAACGCCAGGAAGCACATTTGTCATCAAGTGGCAGATTGCACGGAGCTGAGAAAGTTGGAGGCAGTTGAGAAACATGTAGAGAAATGTAACGATGCACGGGCAGCTGCTGACTGGAGGAGTCTGTTAAGGGAAGCTGATGCTGCTATTGCTTCTGGAGCCGATTCATCTCCTCAGGTGGGTAGTTGTGGGAGAGGAGGATCGTTCCGAATGGAAACTTTCATATGATCAAAAGGGTATAGCAGCAATATTGTCTGACGTTTTTTAGTGTATTGAAATTTTGCAGCTCTTTGCGTGTAGAGCGGAAGCGTTTGTGAAGCTCCATCAGTTGGACAATGCTGATTTGAGTATATCAAAAGTTCCTAAAATGGAGCCAAATGGTTCTTTTCCCCGGTCAAAGATTTTTGGGATGCTTTCGGAAGCATATGTTTTCTTCGTTCGGTCCCAAATTGAGCTAGCTCATGGAAGGTGAGGAGTTCACAATCATATTCCTCTCTTAGGCCACAACTAACCCCAACTACTTCCAAGTAGGGGTGAGGTCTGCATGCATACACCTACTGTCTTGTGAGATTCTACTGGGTTCGTTGCTGTTGTTGTAGGCCGCACCTAACCCTAACTGATCCCAACTATCTTTTAGGACCCTGTTTGGCACGTAACCTCATTTTTTTACAATATTAGAAGGGGAAAATAACTATAATTTCTTACAGGTTTGAAAGCGCGGTTGCTGCAATGGAGAAAGCCAGACAGATTGACTGTCAAAGTGTTGAAGTTTCTGTTGCGCTCAACAATGTTAAATCAGTTAGCCAAGCCCGAAACCGTGGCAACAATTTGTTCAAGTCAGAAAGGCTCACTGAAGCATGTGCTGCCTATGGGGACGGTCTCCGGTTTGATCCTTCAAATTCAGTTCTATATTGCAACAGAGCTGCTTGCTGGTATAAGCTGGGCCAGTGGGAAAAATCAGTCGACGATTGCACGCAAGCCCTCTGCATCCAACCTAATTATACAAAGGCACTTCTCCGTAGGGCAGCCTCAAACATGAAGGTACCACTCCTCCTTTTTGCTTTTTAATATTTTGTGAAACCACATTATCACGGTGTGTGTTGAAGATATAGTCCAATATAGACTAAAAAAGACTAATATATAAGAATACGAGATACTATACTCTCATTGCCAATTGGAATCTTATAATCCTACATAGTATGAGAGCTAAGACTTGGGAGCTCAAAAAAGAAGCCCAATCTGTTTGAGCAATTGACAGCTTAAGGCAAAAAAAAACCCAAGTTGCAGTCTAGGAGTATATAGCCCCACATCAAAAACTCATGCAAAGAAAGACCAATACATAAGAATATGATATATTTCTCTCATTGTCAATCGGCTTTCTTATAAATATGATAGCAACTTGCTTCCTATGAATGATAAAAGATAAAAATATAAAATGTGTGATTGCAGCTCGAACGATGGGCTGAAGCTGTAAGAGACTACGAAGCTTTGAGGAGCGAATTTCCACATGACAATGAAGTTGTTGAATCTTTAATTCATGCCCAAGTTGCTCTGGAGAAAGCCAATGGAGAAGAGGTCTGTACTAGGAAATTCGGTGGGGGTGTTGAAGCAATCGCCGATCCTCAAAAATTCCAAGCAGCGATTTCCTCTCATGGTAGGTTCTTTTACCTCTTTAATCGTTTAGGGTGTGTTTGGATCCCGGAAAATGCCAGGCAAAGGAAACAAATTGCTAAGAAAAAGTTATTTTCTTATGTTTGGTTTTACCTTGGAAATTGCCTAGGGAAGTGAAACATGGGTTTCTTTTTTAAAGTGGGTGATTCTCTGTGCTGGTGCTTATTGGCTTATTGCTGATCAACAATTTTTATCTTATAAGTAAGCTTATAAGCCAGAAAAAATAAGTAGGTCTTACCTATTTATTTTTAATCCAATTTTTCGTTTTTAGTCCAGTTATAGTCCCACAAAGAAACATGTCATCTGCTGACTTATAAGTTCAAAACAACTTATAAGCAATTTTGACCAGCTTATAAGCACATATAGAAACACCCACAAAATTGTTTGTCATTTGGTGGTGTGACAGTAGCATAATCCATCATTATTTGTTTGGTGTTACAAAATTTAGAGGTGGAAATTGCAGGGGTAGTGGTGGTGCATTTCAAAATGGCAAACAATGCACAATGCATGCAGATATCCCCATTCTTGGACACTTTATGCACCAGATATCCATTAATAAGTTTTTTCAAGGTAAACTCACCATTACCACCACTCATATTTTCAAACTTCATTGTTTCTTGTTTTTAAATTTTAGCATACCAATTTTTTTTTTATTTCGAAATACTACGGTTTTTCTGACATCGGTTTTGGGTGTCATACTATGGCATGACGAGAGCCCTATGGTGCTCTCTTGGGGCCCGAAGTGGGTCCCGCCCCACAAAGCCCTTATCCCTCAGCCCCTTGAAAACTATTGTAGCAATTCATTGTTTTCGTGGGGTCGGTGGACTGAGTGAGGTTTGAACCCCCCCGTTCAAAGTGCAACGGAGCACCGTAGGGCCCTCATTTAGTAAAATAATTACATTAATTTTTTAAAAAAATTAACTTATTGAGTTGAAACAAGACCCTTTTCTTGGGACTTGAATATAAGTTTAAGAATGTGAAACTTATATTTTCATTGAAGGTGGATGTGGAACAGAGCCCGGGAATCGCTACGTCCGAGAATGTCATGGTCTGCCCGACGTTCAAGATATACAGAAAGGGCAGCCGTTTGAAGGAGTTGGTCTGCCCGGGCCCGGAGGTGTTGGAGTCCTCGGTCAGACACTATTACACTATCAACATTTAGGTCTCCATCTCNNNNTGCAACGGAGCACCGTAGGGCCCTCATTTAGTAAAATAATTACATTAATTTTTTAAAAAAATTAACTTATTGAGTTGAAACAAGACCCTTTTCTTGGGACTTGAATATAAGTTTAAGAATGTGAAACTTATATTTTCATTGAAGGTGGATGTGGAACAGAGCCCGGGAATCGCTACGTCCGAGAATGTCATGGTCTGCCCGACGTTCAAGATATACAGAAAGGGCAGCCGTTTGAAGGAGTTGGTCTGCCCGGGCCCGGAGGTGTTGGAGTCCTCGGTCAGACACTATTACACTATCAACATTTAGGTCTCCATCTCCTCCTCTTCACACACATTGTTTCAAGAATCGCCGCAGGCACCCCAAGCCACACGTACCAGACCGGGTTAGACCAGACCGGACCGGCCTTCCACGATAGTCTCTCATTTGTACCTCCATTTCCCTTTTTCTTTTTTTTTCCTTTTGTAACTTTATTGAATGTCTCAATCCTCATTGCCTTCTAGTTTTAAAATTTTCTCTCACCTCATAATCTCTTTCTTTTCTTTCCCATCCTTTGGTTTGTTAAAATTCTTTTTTTCCCCATTTAGTGAAGCTAGAAGACAAAGAGAGGGACTTAGGAGCATTAGATGAGGATAAAAAAACATGCATATACATATATGTGTGATTATAATTATTATTATTATTATATATAAAACATATAAATGGAATTGAGGGAGATTTATTGGATGTATGGTGGGTGGGAAATTTCAATGTACAAGTAGTAAAGGGATTGGAATTTAGAATTATTGATATTTTGTTGTTCAATCACTTCATCAATAATAATAAAAGTTTTACATTCTTTGTTCTTGTGTTTATACACACATCTCCTTGCTTTTGTGTTGGTGCTTCACTGCCTCTTGATGCTTAATGAAGCAATGATTTGTGCTTGGTATTTTTTAAATTCCCTTTTTTGCCCCTAAAGATGGTAGGTAAAATTCAATACTCCCTCTATTGCAAATTACTTTTTCTTTTTTGACTTCATAAAAATTATTTCTAGTTTAAATCGTACTTCCTCCGTCCCCAATTTGATTACAAATTGCGGGTTATGGAGTAAAATTTTCTACTTTTTTAAATCATTTTATTTACAAATTGGTATATCAATAAGATATAAAAATTACATATTAAAAAATTACGTCAAAATTGTACAAAACAAGAGGTGACAAGAATATTTTATTTTATCAAATACTTGATGAAATTGCGTAAACAAACAAAAGTTATCGAGAGGAGAGAAAAAAAATTGTAATCTATTTAGGTACGGAGGGAGTATGTTTCAGTTTATAATGTTTGATTGAAGTTATGTTTAGATCATATAAGAGAGCATTATATAGACGAGACTATCATCTCTTAGGCATAGTCGAACATGGGTAGCTCAACGGGTCTAAGGAGAAGATGTAAAGCCCGTTGATCCTATGGTCGAATTCGACAATGTGGGAGTTTTATTATTTGTAATAGCTCTCTTTGCGCACCGAACACGGGATGACCTCTCTAATACCAGATTTAGATTATATCATGATTTACCCTCTCACAATCCTATCGGGCCGGGGTGTGGAGTAGCATGGGATGGGCGTTCCACCTTTCGATTAGGTCATGCGCGGGAGTGAGGGTACCCTACCCTATAAAGGGGTCTTTGTCAAATGGTCTCTAACTTTTATGGTAGTAGTTTTGAATCTTTTGATTCCTTTCATAACCCATTGAAGAAAAAACAAACTAATGTACGCCATCTCCATTCAAATCCTATCATGAATAATTGGACCATGGAAAATGTCAGGGATATACCAAAAGTGTACTCCAAATGTACCTTAAGTCTTTGAAAGCAACACACTTATATATGTAATTAAAAAAGAAAAAATTAAATAAAAATGTGTGGTAACAAAATGAATGGTGTACATTTAGAGTACATATTTGGTATATTCGTAGCATCCCTTTGGGCAATTTGGCTTGAGGGCATTGATTAGCATGCGAAATACGGAGTGAGTTTTGATATCTTCAAATGATCTGCAAAGTGCATGAGATATTAGTTTTAATATCACACCGTTTAAGAAAATTATTTAAAAACTAAAGGAATGAGTGATTCATTTATGTTTAAGAGTTTCTTGTTTTATAGAACTTTTAACAAAAATTTTAATAAGTAAATTTTATTTTTTTTATCTCATACCAATCTTTAAATAAAATAAATTACTCCGTAAAAGTAATTTAAACTTTCACTTCGGTAATCTAGAATTCTTTATAGGACGTTTGAATTGAAATGAATGTGGGGATTTTTTTATTATTTGTCAAATCAAACAGCTTAATTCTAACATATATTCAGAGTTAAGTTTCCATCTCTCATTCATTTCACTTCACTCATGATAATAACAACACATTGGATTCCTCTTCCCATTCTGCAGCCAAAACAGACATTGTTCAGAGGGAGCAGCTGAATGAGAGATTCCTTCCAATACACACCCCACTTTAGTATAGTACTTCAATGCATTGCAATGCTAGCTAAGACTCATTATGATCCCACTTCACATTCATTTCATTCCTATCTTCTTAGAATTTTTTTTCTTTTTTCAACAAATGTTTTTTTGACATTAGTAAAATGAAACCATTCTTTTTTTATTTATTTATGAGGTGAAGGTTCTAAATCACATTTTTAAAACAAGGGTTTTAGTTTTAATTTTTTAAAATGTATTTGTTTTATGAGTGATATCTAACGAGACACCTAATTAATACTTACGGGTCCAAATTTTACAAAATTTAGCGTGGATGCTTTTTTTACAAGTAAAAATAACGACAATAAAGCCTTTTTCCACTAGATGGGGTTAGCTACATGGATCAAATGATGACATTTCACTCTATCATGTATGATATCTGCAGTGAGATCATTTACACGAAAGTCATTTTTGTACAAGTAGAAATATGTGGAGAAATTTCTAGGTAACTATACACGTCGATTCAATGGAGAATTTCGTTCAAAAATTGTCACGAGCTCCAAGCTCCAAGATGCCATAACCATAACATTTTTTAGCCAATTTTTTAAATGGGCCAAAAATTTACAATAAATAATCAAGACCGAAACCATCCCTAAATCAAGACGGTCTTGTTTTGGTCTGAATCTATTGGTCCGGTCTGGTTGGTTTTTTTTGAATCAGGCCTAATTATGAACACCCCTAATTGTGAGGCGGGAAAGAGAAAGGTAAAACTATAAATGAATTGGGTTCGTGAAAAAAAAATTGAAAGAGTCACATATCAACCCAATAAAACTGTAAAAAACTTTATATTTCATATGTGGACTCTAAAACCATGAAAGCACAACTCAAAAGAGAAATAAGATGGGAATTTGAAATTGAGTTTAAAACAACTTCATCCACCCTCTTTTTTTTGTTCTTGTGTACACCACTGACCACAAATAATATTTGCCAACAATTTGACTTGCTAACCATTTTCAACTCTAGGCAGAAATACAAGCCAAGCTACTGAACATAAACAAAATACCAAACAATGTCAAATTTTCTTTCCTCCAACATGGACCGATTCTATATTTAAAGGTGGGAGTAAATTTTGGGAAATGAAAATGAAGAAAATTATGGAATGGATGTGGTAAACAAGACATTGCAATTTCATTTACCATAAAAAGAAACTTTTCAAATGTCTTTCCTTTTGGCTAAAAGAAAATCCAGAAAATAATCTCTGAAAGAAAGATGAGGATAAAGCATCATGTAGAAACAATATTTAAACAACAATTTGTTCCACAAAGCGTCGTCCTTGGCACCAGCTGAATACAATACACTTCACATTCTTCTATATGCAAAGCATTTCATTTCATTCCGACAACCTTCAAGCACCATTAGCATACAAACGTGTCCATTCCTTTGCTACAAAAACCAAAAAAACAAACGATGATGATGATAGGGGTGGTCGTT